AGGAACTCAAGCAAAGAGGAAGAGAGAACACGATGAATAAGCGCAGAGTCAAAAGAAAACCCTCAAGCAGTAGCAGCAGCAGCAGCAGCAATTGGAGGTAGCTAGCTATCTACCTACTTATCTAGCTAGCTAGCTAGGGAAAGATAGATGCACTAGCAGCCAGACAAGGGGGCAGCGGCGCACACTCACAGNCTAGCTAGCTAGCTAGGGAAAGATAGATGCACTAGCAGCCAGACAAGGGGGCAGCGGCGCACACTCACAGCTAGCCATTCCAAGACACACACAGCTAGCTCAGCTAGCCAAGCAAAGAGGCGGCACCACACACAGCTAGCCACACGCAACAACGAGGACAGCGCCAGCTAGCCAGAGGAGAGGGAGAGAGACATTAAGCTAGCTAAGCAGCTAGCTAGCTAGAGAGATTGAGAGAGAGACAAATGAAGACACACCTGCTGCGCGTGCTGCAGCAGCACCGCCCTGTTGGTGGGAAGCATAAGAAGATTCGCTAGGAAACGCAAGCAGCACAGCAGCAGCCCCGCTCCCTGCACCTGCTGCTGCTGCTGCTGCTGCTCTGCTGCTGCAGCACATGTCTCCTTGATGCGCTGCAGCGCCAGCAGCACGAAGTCCCACCTGCAGCAAAAACCAGAGAAGAAAATTTATGCAAAGGGCTCAAAGAGCTGTTGCTGCTGCTGCTGCTGCTGCTGCTGCTGCTGCTGCAGCAGCAGCTGCTGCAGCTGCTGCTGGTGTTTCTGGTGCTGCTGCAAGTGTCTGCGCCTGCAGCAGCCTGCACTGGCAGCACTGAACAGGGAGCGGGGAGAGAGACAGAAGAAAGAATGCAGAGACAACCGAGAAAGGAGACACATGAGAGCAGAGAGGAGACAGGAGAGAGGAGACAGGAGACAAGAGAAAAGCAAGAGGGGACACAGGAAAGATGAGATAAAGAGAAAATGCGGCAGAAAGGAGACAGCACAGAGGAGACAGCAGAGAGGAGACAGCAGAGAGGAGACAGCAGCGAAGGGACAGGAGAGAGGAGACAAGAGAGAGGAGACAGCAGAGAGGAGACAGCAGAGAGGAGACAGAAGAGAGGAGAGAGGAGACAAGAGAGAGGAGACAGGAGGCAGGAGAAAGGAGAAAAGAGAGAGGAGACAGGAGACAGAGAGAGGGGAGAGGAGACAGGAGAGAGGAGACGAGAGAGAGGAGACAGGAGACAGAGAGAGGAGAGAAGAGACAGGAGTGAGGAGACGAGAGAGGAGACAGGAGACAGAGAGAGGAGAGAGGAGAGACGAGAGAGGAGACAGGAGACAGAGAGAGGAGACAGCAGAGAGGAGACAGGAGACAGAGAGAGAAAAAATAAATATATGTTACCCGTTGTTGGTTGTGTTTTTGCAGGCCAAAGAATACTGAGGATGGAGACAGAAGAGACGCCACAAATCAAAGACAGGCAGCTGCATGCGCGCGGGAAAGAGAGACAGTTGCTGCATCAGCACATGTACTTCACTCGCCCTGCAGCAGCAGAAAAGTTATAAATATAATATAATATAATATAATATAATATAATATAATATAATATAATATAATATAATGTAATATAATATAATATAATATAATATAATATAATATAAAAAGAAAAAGAAAAATATATGAGAGACAGAATAAGAAAAAATAATATAAAAAAAAAAGAAAAAAAAAGAAAGGAGAGACGGAATGTCAAAAAGGAGACAGATACATGATAGAAAGGAGACAGTTTTTATAAAATAAAAAACAAATAAAAATGAAGAGACAAAAAAACAAGTAAACAAATATACAACAACAACTACCACAATAACAATAACACGGAGACAGCAAGGAGACAGAGACAGAAAAAAAGAGACAGAGAAAAAAAGGAGGCGGAGAGAAAAAAAGGACAGAGAGGAGACAGAAACAAACGGGGACAATAGTAGAGGGAGACAAGCACAGGAGACAAAGAGGAGACAGAGGAGACAGAGAGGAGACAGAGAGGAGACAGAGAGGAGACAGAGAGGAGACAGAGAGGAGACAGGGAGGAGACAGCAGCAAGCAGCAGAAAGGAGACAGAGAAGAGACAGAGACACGGGCGGAAACAGAGACAGGAGCGAGATAAACAGCAGAGACAGCAGCAACGCTATAAGAGACAAACAAAAAAAAAGAAAAAAAAGGAGACAGAAAAAGATAAAGCAAAAGGAGACAAAAAAGGAGACAGGTGCAGCAGCAGCACCTAAATGTCTCCTTCAGAAAGTTGCTGCTGCGCAGCTTCTCCAGAGCAGCAGCAAGGTATGTTTCATCCAAAGAAGACAGCTGGGCCTGCAGCAGCAGCAGCAGCAGCAAAAGCAGCAGCAGCAGCAGCAGCATGGTTGCTTCAAGCTCGGTGCACGGGATGCGTAGAGCAGCGCGAGCAGCAGCAGCACATGCAGCAGCAGCAGCAGCTGCACATGCAGCAGCAGCACATTCAGCAGCAGCGGCACCAAATTCAGCAGCAGCAGCAGCACACTCAGCAGCAGCAGCAGCAGCAGCAGCAACAGCAGCAGCAGCAGCAGCAGCAGCAGCAGGAACAACGTACGGGGTCTGCCTGTCGCTTGAGTGTCTCCTGAGCCTCAAGGAGACCTTTTTGTAGGCCGTCTATATTTGCCTTAGTGAAGGAGACACACTGCAGCACAGGAAAGTGTTTATGCTGCTGGGCTCTGCTGCTGCTGCTGCTGCTGCTGTTGCTGCTGCTGCTGCTGCTGCTGCTGCTAGCTGCTGCTGCGCTCGATGCAGGGGCTGCTGCTGCTGCTGCTGCAGCACCGCCGCTGTTGGCGTTTATAAAAGAAACTATCTGCTGCAGGTATGTCTTATGCAGCCCCTCTCTAGCCACAAACTTCTCTCCAACTACCAGCGGATTCTCCCCGCGGCTGCACGCAACACACACACACTCAGCTAGCCACCAGCTAGCTAGCTAGCTAGCTAGCTAGCTAGCTATTGCCAGCTAGCCGAGAACCAGCACCCAAGCAGTCAGGAGGTGCCTGGGAGCTGGCTGGCTAGCTAGCCACGTGTCTCAGCAGCAAACAGAAACTGATAGCTCCAGAAACCCAAAACTGCTTGCTTTGTTAGCTAGCTAGCTGGCCTCCCAACCAGCTAGCTAGCTAGCTAGCTAGCTAGCTACCGCCAAGCAGCTACCCTGCTGTGCAACAGATCCGTAAACGAGAAGAGTGCTGTTTTATCTCCTATTTAGCTAGCTGTCTCCCTGGCTGGCTCTCTAGCTAGCTAGCTGTCTGGCTAGCTAGCTCGCCGGCTGTCTCTCTAGCTAGCTGCACAGCTAGCTAGCTAGCTGGCTGGCTAGCTAGCTGAAGGGCTAGCAGCAAACTCTCACTTGAAGGGCAGCTTCTTGTAGGCGCCCTCCTCCCCCAACTCCACGTTAAACACAAAGTCGTAGTCTCCTGCAGCAAAGAACTGCAGCAGCAGCAGCAGCAGCAGCAGCAGCAGCAACAGCAGCAACAGCAGCAACAGTATAGTACAGAACTCTTCTCCGCAGGCACCCCCGGTAGAGACTGCCACCCCACGAACACCGTAGCAACACCAGCAGCAGCAGCAGCAGCACGAGCAACAGCAGCAGCAACACTGTCAGCAGCACGAGCAGCACCAGAGCAACAGCAGCAGCAGCAGCAGCAGCAGCAGCAGGGGGCTGACCTGGTCCCCTGGAAAGAATGTTTTGTGTCTCCTTTGCTGCGGTTTGTTTCGGATGGGGTTCAGGGCCATCCCCACGAAGTCCCATTGCTGCTGCTGCTGCTGCCACCCCAAGACAACTGCTTCGTCTCCTCTTCTACAAACCTGAACACACAAAAAGAGCAGCAACCGCTGCTGCTGCTGCTGCTGCTGCTGCTGCTCCCTCATGCGGCATCTGCTGCTCGTGTTCCTGATGCAACTGCTGATCCTCGTGTTCCTGCTGCTGCTGCTGCTGCTCTTCCCCCTGCTGCTGCTGCTGCAGCAGCTGCTGCTGCTGCACAACATACCACCAACTCGCCATCCTTTCCGCCGACACGTCTCTGCATGCACAACAGACAACACTTAACGAAACACGCTGCTGCTGCTGTTGCTGTTGCTGCTGCTGCTGCTGCTCTTCTCCCTGCTGTTGCTGATGCTGCTGCTGCTGAAGCTGCTACTGATACTACTACCGCAGAGACCCAAAGAAAACGAAAAACAAAACAGAGATAAAAGGAGACAGACAA